TTAGGTGAGTAACAATATGCCTGAACCCTGTGTGTACCCAACATGACCCTGTTTGCCCAAGCACTGCCTGTCCTGCAGCTGCCTCCCCACAGCTGGGGTCCTTCCCCATGGCAGTGAAAGACTCTAGCAATGTGCAGGCAGCAGAGCCAAGCCTTTCCCCACTGCCAACCCCTGCTAGAGCTTTACTGACACATGTAGCTACACTGCAGCGTAGACGCAGCTTGCTTTGCACAGCAGTATGTAGTAACACATACCCTACATGCCACCACAAGAGGTGTGTAGTGTAGACATAGCCTGTTTTCTAGTTTTGCCTCTGGACATTCTCTCCTCTGCTGATTAGTTGTTTACTCTACCCCCCTTTCTCATGGTCTCTTCACTTAAATCTCACTCCATCTGCCCTCCACACTCCCCCCCCCTTCTTCGTTTTCCATCTCCCTTCCTCTTTCTGTTAACCTCAACCCACCTAATCACAATGTCCCCCCCACAAAAAACCTCCAAGGCACTAACGTTCTCAAACCATCACTGGATTCACCCTATTTGTATTTTCTATCCCTCTGCCCTATCCTTTGGGCTTGGCTACACTGGTACTTTATACCGCAATAAAGCCTTCTACCTTACTCCCCATCCACACTGGCAAGGCACGTAGAGCGCTCTGACTCCCTGGCTAGAGCGCTCCTGGTACTCCACCTCCACGAGAGGGATAACGGCTGTTGCGTATTGGCTGAGACGCCCCAGGGCCAGTGTGAACGAGGATTTACATTACAGCGCACTAATTGACCTCCGGAAACGTCCCATAATCCCCTTAAGTCAAGTGGCCACTCTTCTCTTTGTTATTAAATCAGCTGAGGAATGCGGAAGTGCCTTTTCAGAGCTCCGTTTCAGACAGCGGCTGGTTATCGGCAACGGGGCAAAGCAAACGTTTACTGAGTGAGTGAGAGAGAGGCAGGGGAGCTAGGGGCATCTGAACTTACAAGATAGCGTGCTGACACACTCTCAGTACTCCAAAAACCCACTCTCTCTCTCCCCCCACATACAAACAACAAACTCCACCCCACCCCCCTCATTTGAAAAGCACGTTGCAGCCACTTGACTGCTGAGATAGCTGCCCATAATCCACTGCTCCCAATGCCGCTGCAAATGCTGCAAATGTGGCCACGCCAGTGCGCTTGCAGCTGTCAGTGTGGACAGACTGCAGCGCTTTCCCTAGTGCGCTCTCCGAAGGCTGGTTTAACCCAAAGCGCTCTACAGCTGCAAATGTAGCCAAGCCCTTTGTCTATTTAGATTATAAACCAGGGATCAACAACCTTTGGCATGCAGCCCGTAAGGGAAATCCGCTGGCGGGCCGGGATGGTTTGTTTACCTGCAGCGTCCGCAGGTTCAGCCGATCGCAGCTCCTACTGGTCGCGGTTCACTGTTCCAGGCGAATGGGGGCTGCAGGAAGCGGCGCGGGCTGAGGGATGTACTGGCCACCGCTTCCTGCAGTCCCCATTGGCCTGGAACAGTGAACCGCGGCCAGTGGGAGCTGCTATCGGCCGAATCTGCGGACGCTGCAGGTAAACAAACCGTTCCATCCTGCCAGCGGATTTCCCTTACGGGCTGCATGCCAAAGGTTGCCAATCCCTGTTATAAACTCTTGGGGTGGGGGGGGAGAGACTATCACTATGTTTGTATATTACCTAGAAAAATGGGGCCCCTTTCTCAATTGACATTTAAGTGCTATCACAAAACAAAAATATCTTAGCACATTTTTGGGTACTATAATAATTTTCTAATATTTTTGGAAGCCTGAAACGGTCATCTCTTTATTTCACATCTTTTGTTGGTGTTAAACATTTGAGTCAAACATGACTACTATTAGAAACAAGATAACTTCCGACACTCAAGACATAATCCTGCCCTTCTTTCCTGATAGTCCTGGTATCTACCCAAAACAGAACACAGATGTTTCCATCAAACACAGCCTCACTAGTTCAACCACCTTACCCGATAATATATGGAGATATACCTATCTCATAGAACTGGAAGGAACCCAGAAAGGTCATCAAGTCCAGCCCCCTGCCTTCACTAGCAGGACCAAGTACTGATTTTGCCCCAGATCCCTAAGTGGCCCCCTCAAGGATTGAACCCACAACCCTGGGTTTAGCAGCCAATGCTCAAACCACTGAGCTATCCCTCCCCCCAGATAAAGCACCAGATAAATCCCACCCCCCAGATAAAGCACCAGATAAATTCCCCCCCCCCAGATAAATTCAGTTTAGATTTTTAAACAGCAATGACTGTCCTTTAAGTACTGAGAATGCAAAGTCCTAACCACCCTCTTCATCTTAAGAATCATACAACTATCAGAAACATTCTCCCAAGCTATCAGCAGAAGATTGGTGAGCTCTCCAAGTAAGCCAGTGCCATAGCTCAGGTCAGATCCTCCACTACTAGGTGGAGATTTCACCCTTTCCTTAAAATGGCAGACTCCTCCAGATGAGCACCAGTAAGAGAGAAAGTGATCTTCTCCAAAACAGTCTCTAGAAAAGATTCCAGGTTCTGAAGGGTACAATCCAGAGAGGAAAATATCTATCAGCAGAGCCACAGAAAAGCTATACCAAATACAGCTAGTCAAGTCCAGTCCTCCTTGGCCCCTAGATTGATTCTCCCTTCCTTCGTCTCAAGACTGCTTCCAGCACAGGAAGTTTCTAACCCCAATGGAAGGAACAAGGACCATTAAGAATTTTGTGGACCAAAAGTTTAAAAGCTCACTGGGGAGCGGCTTTGAATATTTGCCCATTGTCCTACAAAACAACTTTAAATCTCCAGTCTTTGCTCACATGTCTTTATCATAAAGTCACCCTAAACCTAAAGTTGCCCACAAAAGTCAAGAAAAAGCTAAAGATTTACAAGTTAGCACTCTGCTTCCTGTATAACTATCTACATCATTGCTAGTTTTTCCACCAGAACCCTTCCCTGCAACATTCTAGCTTGCCACAATATGTGGCTTAGAGCTTTGGACACAGACCTCCAAGGGCAATCTCATTCTATTCTATATAGGTTCTTACAATGCACTGATCACGGTATCCAAACACCTTCCAGTAGCATGCTAAGTGACGTGACTACACACCTGTCATATATTGTTTGTTCTCTCATCCTCTCCTAGAGGGAGAAGTGTGTTCAGGGGCGTATGTTGGTTCGATAGTGTCTGCTCCCGCCCCCACTGCTTTTTTAATATATGTGTTGTTAGGTGTTTATAGTAGAGAAGGCAAGGTGAAAGAAATGCACCTTGTACTTGGAACAGAAAGTGGTGAGGTTTGTGGTAGTACGTAGTCCCGGGGGAGGGCATCTCCAATGTCTCAGACAACCCCTAGAGAAAGCTCTGTCTTCTGCACAGACAAGCTTTACTCTTATTGTTGAGAGTTCCACTGTGCCAGAGGAGTGGGGTTGTTGACCATGGTCTTCATACCTGAGCTTTAGACAATCTTTTAGATATCCTGGACCCAGGGCAAGGAGCACTTTTAAGATAATGATTGAGACCTTGAACTTGATTCGCTATTCTGTGGGAGGCCAGCGTAGAGAACAGAAAACAGATGTGATGTGCTCATGGTAGCCCATGTTGCTGAGGAGATGTGCTGCAGCCTTCTGCACTAGTAGGAGTTTCCTAAGTTCTGAAGGTTTCATGCCCATGTATATCATGTTGGTGTAGTCCAGCTGAGAGGTGCCAAAGGCACGAATAACTAAGGCCAGGTCTTTGTCCACCAGAATGGGACAGAGTCTCCTAGCTAAATAGAGATGGAAGAAAGCACTGCTTGCAAATGTTGGCAAGTGAGACTCAGCGTCAGTGAGGAATCCAGGAGTATTCCTAGACTATGGACTGAACTGACCAATTGTGGGTGTGTCTCTCAACCAACGGAAACAGCACCACGGCTGCAGGCTTTTCAAGATACTTTCCTTTTGCCCACCAGCCTCACCTCTGTCATTCAAGCTCCCTTTGGTGAGATTACACTTTTCAGGGGATCCCCCCAAAAGACACCAACGAATTCCTCAGACTTGAATGAGATCTTGGCCAACCAATCCTCTTTCAGAGATTTAACGGAAAATTTCAGCTGCCACATCTCTTTTCCTCCACCAGAAAACAGCCAAAAGCCCCTCTGCAGTGTCTTCTCTAGACCAGTGGTTCTCAAAGCCTGTCCGGCGCTTGTTCAGGGAAAGCCCCTGGCAGGCCGGGCCAGTTTGTTTACCTGCTGCATCCGCAGATTCGGCCGATCGCAGCTCCCACTGGCCGCTGTTCGCCACTCCAGGCCAATTGGGGCTGCGGGAAGCAGCGCGGGCCGAGGGATGTGGTGGCCGCCCTTCCCACCGCTCCCATTGGCCTGGAGCGGCGAACCGCAGCCAGTGGGAGCCGCGACCGGCCGAACCTGCGGACGCAGCAGGTAAACAAACCGGCCCAGCCCACCAGGGGCTTTCCCTGAACAAGCGGCGGACCGGCTAAGAGAACCACTGCTCTAGACTACAAAATCTTTTCAGCCAAGTAGCCCATCATCTCCACAGGAAGACTAAAGAACTTTCTCCTCCTGAACCGTACCTCTTGACAGATGGGCTCTGAAGATTATTCACGCAGGTCTTCTCAGCAATTCCCACGCCCTTTCTTTCTGGCCTCCTCACCACCCCATAAAGTAACAAGTGTTATCTAACAGTGTCTCAGATATCATCTATTTAAGAATGATTGTTCTAATTCCAGCCAACAAGAAGTTCTTCAGTTTCTAGTCAAGGTTCTTTGTGGGTAGAAAGAACATGGGATTTCAACTTAAACCTGGTAGTAAATAAACCCCATTTCTGCACACAATTTCTGGCTCATATCATTCAAGAATTACCTCTGAAAGAATACCTTTCCTCTGTCAATCTCAATGAGACCTACCTTCAAATTCTGTTTAGTTCAGCTCACCTGTGTTACATTTACTTCACAATTTAGGACAACTGGCTGTGGTACGTAATGCCCTTTGATCTCATCTACTCACATTTTCAGAGAGATGGCAGTCATAGCAATAGCGAGTCTGAAGCAAGGCAGCATCCAGAATTATCAATATATGGACAACCTGCAGTGAAGGCTTGATCATACTAAAGTGCTTTTCTTAATACGCACAGAACTATCAAGGTGCTGGCGAACCACAATTTTGTTTTTAACCCTGGGCAAGAAACTCAGAAGCTTCCACACATTTCAGAATCAAGGAACTTAGTAAGTACCCACTGGCCATGCCTCCACTAAAGAGGCACAGGTGTAGCCTGTATCAAGCACGTTCTCTGGGCACTGCTGCAACTCTGGTCCTCAGAGAATTTTCTGGGACTACCAGGAAGAGGCACTGGCTCATCAACCGATCCCACCTCTATCGGTTCAGCTTTCCATCCTCTGGTAAAAATCTTTTCTTCTTCAGTGACAAGCCCCTTAATGGCAATATGGCTGTCACGTGGTTCTTCGAATGAAGAAGTGGCAAGTTCACTTTTCCAATTGTTAATATTCTATTTTTCGTACATGTATGGTAGCTGTTTGTAAAATTGGTTATATTTCTCAAATGAACATTGTTGCAATCCCATACTGTCTGGGCAGGTCAATGAAAGCACGTCAACTGGCCAAGCTTTGTCGCTTCTCAGCTGGACTAGAGCAATGCAATGTACTTGGGCACGTATTCTTCAGCATTTAGCAAACTCCACTAGTAGGGAATGTTGCAACATGTCTTCCTCAGCAACACAGGCTACTGCGAGCACACCAAACCCTTCCTCTGCTCACTACAGTAGCTGCATACAGATTTTCAAATCAAGGTCAAAGTCTCAGGTCTAATCTTCAAGGCGCTCTGTGGCCTGGGCCCAGGAGATCTAGAAAGACCACCTACAGCCCCAGGATGAAGACTACAGTGCACAACTCCGCTCTGGGGCCCGTCTTTGACACCGTGGAATGAAGGCCTCCAGAAACCGAGGTCCGTCCTGACCTCACCACTCTCGGCTCCCAGTGCAAGGTATGTCTTTGACCTGCCTTCTTGACGGCGAACACACAGCCACAGGTCCGTTTAAACAGGCCCTACCCACTACCCAACTGGCTCCCCCGGGGCGCGACCCCGCAGGCCAGGAGTTAACCCGCTGCCGGGATGGGCGGCGGGCGCTCAGCGAATGGGGGCGGGGCGAGCGGAGGGGAAGGGAGCGGACGCTCCCCACGACAGCACGGCGCAGCGCCTCTCCGCGACGTCGCCCCCAACCCCAGGGAGGCCCGACCCGCAGCCTGGCCGCGCTCCCAGCATCCCTCGCGAGCGGGCGGGGCGCGAGACCCCGGGTCCCTTCGCTATGGGGCGGGGCCGGCAGGCCCCAGGGAGTCCGCGGGCCCGGGCTACGCAGCGGGGAGCCCGCCTCTGGGCCGGGCGCGGGCCCGGCAGCCCCGCGCAGGGTGCAGCGTGCGGCATCCCCAGCCGTTACCTTGGGCTTCTCCTCGGACATGGCGGCGTCGGACGGGTCCGGCCTGGCGGGAGCGCGGAGGGGGCACAGTCACGCTCTCCTCAGCTCCCGCGTCTCTCCCGCCGCAACTGCCCGCGAGAGCGCGCTTCGCCCCCCAAATCCCCGGCCTCTGATTGGCTCCGGAGGGCCCACGTGCCTGTGCGCGCTCACGAGGCGCGCTCGCGAGCGATTCCTCGTCGGGGGCGCGCTTTAGGGGCGGAGGCAGGTAGCGCTGGGAAGTGCGTCATCGGGGAACCGGAAACGGTGGAGGAGGACGCCAAAACGGGGGGGGAGGGGCGAAGTAAGTGGTGCTCAGAAAGAGGGGGGTAAAGGGGGCTCCCCACAGAACCTAGGGAGAGGGGCAGCACAGAGCCCCACGGGTCAGCTCCTTCCAGAGCTTGGGGGAGGGGCAAGGGAATGGGGACACCTCCCCCAAAAGCCCTGGGGGAGGGGCAAAGGGAGCAGGAAAGCTCTCCACAGAACCTATGGGGAGGGGCAGCACAGAGCCCCCTGGGTCAGCTCCCCAGGGAGAGTGGGGGAGGGGCAAAGGGGACCCTGCTGTCCTATTGCCTGCCATACGGCCTGGTGCTGCCACAATCACAACTGTTAGACAGAAGCACCTTTGCCATGGGGAGATAGCAAGTGCGATATGTTGGGTAGAGGCGGTTTGGGTAGGGGTAGCTCACCTCTCTGAGACACCCAGAGGTACAAATGCAGGTAACGTATAGCTCTGCAATAGCACTTTTCACCAGCAGGTTGAGATCAGTATTGTTTTCCCCATTTTAAAGATGGGGAAACTGAGGCTGCATATGGGTATACAAATACTTGGGTCCCCATGTGTGCGCTCATGACTTCCCCCCCAGCACACCCACACCTACATGTGCACATTCATGGAAACGTATAGCTCTACCTATATGCATAGCTAATGGACACTATATATATACACACACATGTAGAAATGAACATGAACACATACACAGTGATGCAGGTACCTGCATAAACATGTATGATCACATGCACACAGGAAAACAGGCACAAATGTGCTTGTACATGGAAAGACATGCACAAACATACACTCCAAACAGCCATCTTGAAAACCCACGTGCACACTCAGGCTGTATCCACATCCCAACATGTATGCACACGTAAGAAAACATGCACAGAGTATACATACACTCTGTTTTCCCATACATGCACAAAAACATAGAAACATGAATGAGTATGCACGTATGCATATATAGCTTTGCACATATACAAAACACACAACTGTATATGCTCACAAAAACAAAGCAACCACACACTTGTGCACATACAGCAGTAACATACGTGCATACTAAACATGTACGCAAATGCCCCTACACAATTCAGACTCATGTACACAAAAGCACACATGTTCATGTACAAAAAAACTGCACATATGTATGTATACATATTTTGGGGGTGTATTTGCCTAGGAATGTATGTGCACAACATGCTAATACATAACAAGACATGTTATACATGAGATCAGACAAGATGATCACAGTGGTTCCTTCTAGCCCTGGAATCTATGAAAAGACTTGATACAAAACCACACAAATGTGTACATAATATCATACATATGAATACATGAGTGTATATATGTATACTCACAACCCCTCACACATACATATGCATGTATGTATGTTCACACAAAAGCAATAGGTCACATACGTCAGTGCAACGTACTTCCCATGTAGAAATAAATATGAGTTACACACAAGGAACAGGGATAGCAGTTCCTGGCTTCCTTACACCATAAATTCCTCTCTTTTGGTGAGGAAGAGAGACTGACTGCTGGTCCCATTACTTTTGTATAGCAGCCAAAGTAATTTCCCACCGTCCAGGATCCTAACAGAAATAGTCTATCTGTTTTTTGTTAGGAATTACTGCATGTGTACCATATGATTTGCAGCAGTTATCTCTTCAAAAGCATTCCTTGAATTGGTACAGCAGCTAATGGTGAGATGACAGAGGTCACCTGCAAACAGGTAAGTTATTTTAGCAATGAAGATAGCTAGGGCCAGACAAGACTGAACCCTAAGCAGTATAACAATTTGTAATCAATGGTATAGCAAATCTATGGTCTTCCAGGTACTCTGCAGTTGTCACTCTGTTGCACAGCCTGGCCTCTCAGAACTTCCTGGAGTCAAACTAGAGCTGCTGCTCGAAAAGCACAGGCCCCTACTTCTTGAGATAATTAAGAAACTGAACAGTAAATGATAACTTAGTGAAACAGTTCTAATTCTCTCCAGTAGAGGACAGTGGCACACATGTTGTATGCAGCGTAGTTGTAGCTGGGTGGGTCAGGATATTAGAAGTTAGTCCAGTAAAAGATATTACCTCACCCACCTTGTCTGTCTAGTGATACACATAAACCGTTGCCCCAAGGTTATTTTCATAGGAATTTTTTCTCATGGGCTACCTCCCCCCATTCATGATTGTGCAAACCACTCCTTCCATTGATTAATAATACGTACCTGTTATGTAGCACTTTTCATCCATAAATCTCTAATAACATCTCTGTGGCAACTACAACAGTTTTTACATGGAAAAGTAATAGGAGGAATGTATTTTTAGTGGTCTTTTTATATAATTTAGCAGCAGGCAACAAGGATGGGAACAACCATCTCTCCCTGCACAAATCGTGAGGTGCAGTTTGAGAACTTCTGCAGCACCCAGTCCATTACAACAACAAAGAGTAACCTGATAAACTGAAAATCTATTATGGTATGTTATGTGTTCAGTGCTGCTAATAAGAGTCCTGGATTCTGAAGCAGGTGCTCTGTAACTCAGTGATTCCACCACACCTCGATACAGAGAGATCCAGATCAGGTTTAGTCTAGCTGTGATTCTGAGCACGTCACTGTTGGAGGGGCTTTTCCCCTCACACAGCAGAGCTCCCAATCTCCCAGCAAACAGTCCTTTAGAACAAGGGGGGTAAAACCCGGTCAGGGAAAGAAAACCAATTTGGAACATATGCAGGTGATGATGTTGGTTATTGTTGCTGGCAACTACCCATCAGCTAGAAAACAGATGTTTCTTTTTAACTCTGATTACTAAATCAAAACCCACCCCTCCCACACACAAGTTCCTTCCTCTTTTCCTGCTAATTTCTGACCTAATGCTTTATTCTTTAGCTTACCTCCGCCTTCTTTCCAATGCTAAATTAACTGTTTTAACATCCCTGCTTCAGTTACAGAAAGCATCTTTTTCTTGGAGTTGCCTAACCCGTATTCCCTTTCTCCCTTTAAATAGTCTCTCTCTTTTGTCTAGGTCCATATCCAAACTAGAGCTGGGTGGGAATTTTTGGATGAAATGTTTTTTTGGTCAGAAAATGCTGATTCATTGAAACAATTTTTTTCCCCACAGAAACTGAAGTTTTCTCAGCTCCAGAATGGAATCTCTGGTCAAAACCAGAGCGAAAACACAAGGCCCCAGAATAGACACTAGCCCAGTGGTTAGGGGCACTCACCTGGGAGACCCAGTTTCAAGATCTTGCTCTGCCTGATTTGGAGCAGGGACTTGAAGCTGGGTCTCCCAGATGAGAGCCCTAATCACTAGGCTTTTGGCTATTCTCTTACCCTCATTCTCATTTTTCAGGATAGGTCTTGGATTCATCTTGCTACAGAATGGGAATTTTATTGCAGGATGGACAAAACCTGTTTCACGCCCAGCTCTATTCCCAGCTCAACTAATTGCCCTCCAACCCCATTTCAAGATTTCTGGCTGCTGAATGGAGGATGCTACTGACACAGCCAAGCCAGGCATCAGGACTCCTTCCCGTTCTCTGTTCTGAGCCTTAAATCAGCTCTGTTTTTCCAACAGAGTACATAAATCTGCCGGGGCACAATAAGAGCAGCCA